TATATATATATATATATATGTATATATATATATATATCTGATGGTATTAAGGATAAGAAGTAGTGGTTCCTTGAATTGAACAAGGAGCAGTCAGGTAAATAGTTTGGACCGTAGATCCAATCAGGATAAATATATTGGATTAGGTCCAATTTGGCCAAATACTTTACTTGATTGGTCCAATTTATATAGTTTCCCCCATTTTTTAAGTCTCGAAAGCACGGGGTGGTCCTTCCCTCTTACGTCATCCATCACCCTATTCTATCCATATATCCAATTATAGTTGGGTCCCAAAAAGAAGTCACATTTGACAACTATTTAATAACCTTATCTCCATTTTATCTTCATTGGATTCATAACATTTTATTGTGAAAAAAGTCAACTAAAAATAAGCAGTGATTTTGATAAACATAACAAAGTAAACTTGATATACGTATTTATATAGCTAAGTGATCCAAGTTTTGACGCTAAAGGGAAAAAAAGCACCAATAAGCAATATGGTCCCTTTTAATTTAGATGTTTTTTCATTCCTTCCATTTAGATTTCTTATCTAGAATATATGAAGTTAGATCACTTAGCCCTTAGCGTTTCAAAAAATTTCTTTTCTTTATTCAATTAAAATTTCATGTTCTATACATCCAAGTCTAACTACATCATATATAAAATTGAAACAGAGAGATCATTACGTTTTTGAATATTTCTTCAGCATATTTTCTGTTTTTGAGTGGCTACATCTACACATATACTGCAGGATCTTTTCATTGCGGGAACTGATTCGAGTTCCGCTACATTAGAATGGGCAATGCTAGAGCTGATGAAAAATCCACACGCAATGAAAAAGGCTAAAGCGGAACTCGCACAAGTTGTTGGCAAGAAAGAGGTAATAAAGGAAGCTGATCTCGTTCGGCTTCCTTATATGCATTGCATTTTGAAAGAGACATTGCGGATTCACCCGCCTGTTCCTCTTTTGTCTCGCAAGGCCGAGCAAGAATTTGAACTTTGTGGCTACTTTGTCCCAAAGGGTTCACAAGTGATAATAAATATATGGTCAATTGGTCGTGACCCTACTATTTGGGAGGATCCTTTGGTATTTAAGCCTGAAAGGTTTTGGGGTTCTAATGTTATGGATATTCGTGGTCAAGATGATTTTAAGCTTATTCCTTTTGGTGTTGGTCGAAGAATGTGTCCTGCCATATCTTTGGCTATGAGGACAGTTCCCATAATGTTGGGTTCGTTGTTGAATTCATTTGATTGGGTTGTTGAAGGCGACGATGATTTGGATGCGGAGGAGAAAAGTGGTCTTATAGTAGGCAAATTACGTCCTCTACGACTTGTTCCGATTTAACTATAGGGCTATATATGGATCAAATTGGACATGAAGCACTGTTTCAATTGGCATGGAAGTAGCAAAAACTTAATAAAGTAGAGTCTACGAATACATAGGTTTTCCATAGACCCTGTAATAAATATATATGTATATTAACTTGTTAACCTCCTATCAAAACTGATTGACGTTTAGTGGTAAAGAAGGGGTTATGAAAATGTTTTTTAGTTTTTTATATATCATCGCTCGTTAATATGTTTTTTTCCCTTCTCCGCCTTCATCGCTATCAATTATGACATAAAATAACCAATTTTTTCAACATAAAACTACTTCAACTTTTGCCATAAAATATATGGTATATTTTAGATATAAAAACTTATATCATGTGTATATTACCAAAAAAAAAAGCATACATATATAATGATTTTTATATATTAATAATAGTCTGACTCAGGGGCGGCTCTAAGGCATGGCCAGTGAGGCCATTGCCTTAGGCCTCAAAAATTTGAAGGCCCCAAATTATTTAAATTATTGTTATTGATTTTATTATATATTAATATAATTTATATAAATAAAATTTTTATGGTATATTTTTTATTATTATTTCTTTGAGAGTATTTTTTATCAATAAATTCATAAAATCTCATAATCTTTTCACCTCATTATTTGATATCTTTGTTTTAACTTCCGATTTTAAATTTTATCCTTTTTATATAGGAACTAAGTTATATATGTGATAACATAATGATTTTTTGTTTCAATCTTTTCTTAAACTGCGTGAACACGAAAACATTCATGCACAAGTTTCCTTTTCATTTTAATTTAATATATTATATGAAAGTTTTATAATTTATTTTAGATATTCACCAATAAGTGCTACTTAATGGAATGAATTATATCATTTAAATTGATCAGAAACTTGATAAGGAGGTGTATATATTTTTGTTATTACTATCGATACTCAAAACCTTAATAATTAACTTTAATTTAATATATTATATGAAAGTTTTATAATTTATTTTAGATATTCACCAATAAGTGCTACTTAATGGAATGAATTATATCATTTAAATTGATCAGAAACTTGATAAGGAGGTGTATATATTTTTGTTATTACTATCGATACTCAAAACCTTAATAATTAACTTTAATTTAATATATTATATGAAAGTTTTATAATTTATTTTAGATATTCATTAATGAGTGCTACTTAATGGAATGAACTATATCATTTAAATTGATCATAAATTTGATAAGAAGGTGTATATATTTTTCTTACTATCCATACTCAAAACCTTAACTATTAACTTTAATTTAATATATTATATGAAAGTTTTATAATTTGTTTTAGATATTCATTAATGAGTGCTACTTAATGGAATGAATTATATCATTTAAATTGATCA